GCACACACAAAAAGAAAATCACTGGCACAATGCAGGAACAATGTAAAGGGGAAGAGGGGAGGAATGTGTGGTGGCGAATGCATAAGTAGGAACTTCTTCCAAAAAATAGTTTGTCAAACCATGCCCTGAAAGACTTTACTTTCTTCCAAGCCAGAACCACTCTGCTGTGTGTACAGGTAGAACCTTGCACGCAGAGATTACAGCTGCAGGACTCTCAAAGCTATTGTAATACCAAAAAATAATAACTGTTCCTACAGACTGACACAATTAACCAAATTCCACTCACAGATCATAGTTGGCAACTCATGCAGCATTTTATGTAGCTGAAGTTGGAGACCAGTTCTATTCCTGAGTTCCATCTCTGGCTCTAATGAGCAATAATTCTGAATAACTCTGGCATTCAGTTCACCTACCAGTAAAAGAATTACTTTCCTCACAGAGCTTTTTACATTGAACCAGATTTTTAAAATAAGCTTTGACATTCTCAAATGAAAAGAATAATGTGCACAATGTATTATTATAGCAAAAACTGTATATGACAGATTCCTACATGTTTTCCTGTCTTTTGTCTCACCTTTCCTGTCACCATACTCCTACACGGGACTCAACACACACCGTAAATGTTTGAGTAATGCCAAATTCAAACTAATGAATTGTAATTAATGTACTTGTTCTTTGCTGAGCAGTGTTGTGTGTGTTTATTTTTATCTGATACTTTTTGGATAGAGACAGAGGTTACTCCCCCTGAGAGTTCAAATATCAATAGTGCTCTACATAACAAGGGAAGTTTTTAATGATTCCCACAAAACTGCTGCCATTTGGTAACAGGACAATGGATGAAATACACTGAGTGTAAAATTTTGCCTCTAGTGCTATTCCCACGGGACCAAATCTAGACGTGATAGTCAACTTTGCCTAGGATTCAGCAAGAGCTTTCCTGCTGTAGGACTGAGGAGATGATAAATAAGAGTTTTAAGAACTGGCCAGAGTTAAAATCCCGGAGAGCAAACATTTATACATTGACTCTGTAGAGTTGTTGTCTCCCTTTTAATTTCCCTAAGAGTGGAGAAGATTGAGAGGATCTTCTGTATATCTCTTTGCAGAAGCACAAGGTACAGCTTTATCTTGTCCCCAACATGTCTGAAAAGCTTATGCCTCATGTTCAGAAATGTCTACGGTTCCATTGACTTTCAATTTAATATTTTAAAGAGTATTTTGACTGCCTCTTTGCATCTAGTGTCTGGGGACAAGCACAGGTGTTATGTAACCATACATCTCTTCATGGATTACAAGCAGGTGCTCTGGTAAGTTAGAGATGGTGTAGAAAAAAATAAAAGGTTTAGCAACGATGTCTAATGGATATTTAATAAAAATAAAAACTAATACAAATAGGATCACTGTATTTATTCAGTGACATATTATTACAACAGTCAGTGCCTGTTGTCTGTGTTATGAACTGCTGTCCTGCTTCAAGGCAATTATCAGCCCCAAAATATTTTCATCCAAAGGTTTAAACTGCAACAACTGTGAGGACATGTGGAAGATTCTTCTGTCATTATCTCATCCTTCAGTTCTAACATGAATGCTTGACTGGGATGGTCTGTGACCAGTGGAGATGAATAAACAGTTGGAGCTGGTATTTGACTGGTGAATGTGTGTGCCAAAGTGTGTGTGGGGAGGCTCAGCAGCTCCTGGGGGCTGTCACACTGATCTCACACAGCAAACCAGCCCTGAGTCTGCCTGTGGCTCCCAGCAAGCCCTGATGTGCCAGTCAGGCTTTGCTATCAAGTGAAAGCTTGTGTGTTCTTGAAATGTGCCTTCAGCTCACGGTGTATTCAGCAACTTGAAAGCTTTCATACGCTCTATAAACTTGTCTTGCACTCCAAGGAGGAATCTTTGTTCTTAAGAGAGCCCAAGCCTGCAAGTTCTCTGTGGAAAACCAGGCTCTCAGCATAGATGTACAGTTGTTAAGCAGTTTCAGCAATGGAAAAATGATCCTTGTTTTGTATTTCTCTACAATAATTTCCAATTCTTTGGGACGGAAGGCTGTGAAACCATGAGTTGCTATTAATTACACTGACTTACTTGCCTGATGTATGTATGCCCATTTTGCCTTGCAGAAATACTTAGGGGGAGATGTACTCTTCTTTTTTTCACACATCACTGCATTACATTGGAGAGGATTTTAGCATGTTTTCTGATTTCATTTGCCAAATTGGGGGTTCGAGTTTACAATTTCCAGCTGACTTGACAGTCCAGAAAGTACACATGATTACCAATTATGTCTCTGTCTTGTAGTAACATACCTAACCAAGGAAAGAAACACTGGAGATCTGAGCTTTAAGGAGCAAATATGAAATTTCCTTTACAAAGAAAGGAAATTGAGTCTGTTTAGTCAATTCTTGAGGAAAATGTGCAGTTATAACTGTACACTTAAACCCTCAACAGTTATTCAAGGACTAAAAAGGCCTTAGAGGTTAGCTACAGATCATGAAAATATTAGAAAGATTTGAAGGGAGGTAACTGAGTATTTATCAATAAACCCTCTACATTTTTGGGCGTTCTTTTGTTACTGTTTCAGGGATATTTAACTCATATTCTTTTAATATTTACATGTATTTATATTCTTTTAAATATATATATATAATCAATATACCCATTTTGTTGATAATAGCTAGTTTTAGAGTAGCTAAAACAGATCTTGGAATGTTTTTTTAACAGTAGAGCAGTTAAAATTCATGATTACTTGGTTTTAGATACATCAGAGTATCACCATAACCGTGTACTTCAGGAATACCTGGTAATTTATGCACTGAACAAGGGGTTCTAGTAGGGAACTGACAGTGCCACTTGTTCCTGCTTGGAATTAGCTTTCAAACTTGCCACCTGTATTTCAAATTATAGACCTTCAAAGACTAATCTAGAGAAAAACAATACAGCAGATACAACTGCATAGTCAAGAGACCCAAACAAAACAGAAGGAAGAAAACCAAGCTGCACACATTAGTTTACCTTATCTGAATTGGAAGATATCCACATTAATCAATCTTGGGAGATGCAGACAGAATAAAGAAGAAGTCCTCTCCTCTCGCTGTGATGGCCTTCAGGAAGGCCTTGAGACATCCTCCCCTTGGGGAGGATTTCATAATCTTGCATTTATAAAGTTGTGATGCTTTGCTTACCTTTCGTGCCCAGCAGTTACAATTGCTGTGTGTGAAACCAGAGAAGTAAGGGATGGCAGCTCCTCTCCTGCTGTTTGCACGGGGAAGCACAAAACAAACCCTGGGAAGCACAAAACAAACCCTGGGAAGCACAACACAAACCCTGCACATGCCACAGCCCTTGTGGGTGGCAGTGGAAGCGAGGACATAGCTGGTGGGAAGTGACAGCTGGGAATACAAAAGAAAAAAAACAATGGGGATTTGGAAGCAACAGGTGGGAGCAGGATTCAGAAAAGTCCAGTCAGGACTTCTGAGGAGGCAGGAACTAATCCAGGCCTCACTGAGTAGGTCCAGCAGAAGAACAACTTGAGGAGGCAAACCAGGAAACGAGCAGGAAGACTGTGCTAATGTTGTATGAGTGGGGAAGCAAATACAGACAGCAAACTCCTACTTCATCAAAACTCTGCTTGTTTCTCAACCCAGCCTGTATCCTAGCACTCATCTGTGAATGATATGCTGCTGCTTTGGACAGAAACTCTGACTCGGCTACTCCTTTAAGAGCAAAGGCTGTGGCTGTGGAGCTGCACTGAGCTCTTCCACGACAGGTGGACAGGAAAGGGACAAAAAGGGTTATTTAAAGTCTGCCTGCCCTCGGTGCAGTGGCAGGTGTACTGGCAGGCAGTGCTGTGACCTTCTGGGGTAGAGCTCGCCAGGAACCGAGCTGGATGTGACTGACAGGGCTCTGTGCCTTCCACACAGAATGTCCCAAGTTATTTATATGGGTTTGTTTAGTCTCCAGGAGGCTCGGGGGCACCTCACTGCTCTCCACACCCACCTGAAAGGAGGGCTGGGAGCCAGGCTCTTCTGCCTTGCCTGCAGTGAGAGGCCTTAAGCTGAGATGGGGGATTCTGATAAGATATTTGAGATTTTTCGAAGCCACCATCCCTGGAGGAGTTCAAGAGGAGTCTGGATCTGGTTCTGGGTGATGTGCTCTAAAGCTTTGGGGGTTACAGTGGTTGTACTGGGTGAACATTGGACACGATGTTCTTAAAGGTCCCAAGCTCGGTGATTCCATGACTGTTTTGTGCCCTGTCCCAGGTAAGGCAGGCAGCGCGGGGAGACGCGGGTGCACATCCCCAGAGCGCGGCCGGCAGGGAAGCGCTGAGCCTAGAACCGGGGGAACCCCTCGCGCAGCGCGACCGCAGCCTTCCGAGCACCGCCTGGGGGCCGGGGGTCCCGAAACGCATCCCTGCCCCTCGCTGTGCCCCGGTCGGGAGAGGGGGCGGGCCCCGTCCCGGCCGCACCGAGGGGTCGCTGCCCCCGCGGGCCGTGAGGGGACGGGGCGGGACGCACGCGGCCTCGCGCGCGCCGCCATAGCGAGGCCGCGCGGGCACGTGGAGCGCGCGCATGCGCGGCCCCTTCTCCTACACACCCCGCGCGCGCCCCCGCCCTCCCGCGCGCGCCGTCCTCTGTGTCTCCGCGCCGCGGCCACGCCCCCCACAGCCCTCCCCGGCCAATGAGCGCCCGGCTCGGGGCGGTCGGGGGGCGCGGCCTCCCCACGGCTGCGCACGCGGGACCTCCCCGGCGTGTGTGTGTGTGCGCAGAGCAGTGCGCCTGCGCATCGCACCGCCCGCGGCACAGCGCGCCCGGGGCGGGGGGCTCGGTGCGCACGCGCGGTGCGGCCGCCGTGGCCCGGCCGGGCGAAGGGGGGGGCCGCGCATGCGCGCCGCGTGCCCGCCCCTCGCCAGCAGCAGAGGAGGAGGTGGCGGTGGCGGCTGTGGGCGAGGGAGCGCGAGGGGAGTGAGAGGCGCCGTTGCCGCCCCGGTATCCGGCAGGACCTCCCTCCCGCCCTCCGCGCTCCGCAGCCACCAACATGTCGGCGCCGGCGGCCAAAGTCAGTAAGAAGGAGCTGAACTCCAACCACGATGGGGCCGACGAGACCTCAGGTGAGGCCGCGCCGGGGGCGGGACGGGAATGGCGGCAGCCGGCGCGGCCTCCGCCTCGCGCCGACCGCCATTTTCCCCCGCCGCACGGGCCGCGGCCGCGCCGGGGGCGGGCGGAGCGCGGGCCCGGCCGGGCGGATGTGCAGGCCCGGCGGCGGCGGGAGGAGGCCATGTTAGCGCCCTTTTGTCTGCGCTGCCGGCCCGGCTTCTCTCCGCGCGGGGCCGGGCGGGGGGCGCTGCGGCTCGGCGGAGCAGCGGGACCCCCCCGCCGCCCCTCCCGGAGCAGCATCCGCGGAGCCTCATTGTGCTCCGCCGCCGCCGCCATGATGCGCCGCCGCCTCCCGCGGCCGCGTGGTGCTGCCGGGCCGCGCGGGGATGGAGCGGCGGAGACACGCGGTGCCGGGGCCGCCCGCGCCGGCCCCACGTGCGATCTCGGCTTTTAAAGGTCGGCGTGGCCCGCGGCCGCGGCGCCTTCCCCACGTGCGTGCCCCGCGCCCGCAGAGGCAGCGCTGTCCCCCAGCGCGGGCCGCGCACCGGGCGCTGCTCCGCTCCTGCCGCTTCCCGCTGCCGCTCATTCATCTCCCGCGCCGTGGGTAAACAGCGCTCCGTGAGCCCGGCCTCGGCCGGACTTGCTCCAGGGGAAGTGCCCAATAGAAAATACCTGCCAAACGGCGGCTTTCGCGGCTCTTTCAGTTGTAATTCGCTTTTTGAACGTTCTTTTTGGTTTTTCGAAGGTGGCATGTGCCCAGATAGGCTATTCCTATTGATATTCCAGCGCTCTGTGAATTACTTTAGGTTTCTTTAAATGTGTTGGTCGTAGCAAATGTGGCGTACAACTTTTCAATTAAAATGTTATTGGCTTATAATTTAAGTTGGCTTGTAAAACAGTGTAGCGGGACGTGAGCTGTGGTTTGTAAGGGTGATCTCACTTTAAGGGCTGTTTTATCAAACTTTGCTGCACTTCAGCTGCAGCACGCCCTGTAAAGCTGGTGTTTTGAGGCGTTGTAACTCTTGTGACATTTAATAGAAACACTTGAGAACTTCTACAGTAGATCGCTAGAGAATTTCTCAAAGGGAAATCCCAGGTGATTTGTCAGGCTTGTGAATGAAGGGATATTGACACATTTTCATCTGTTTTTCAGAAAAAGAGCAACAGGAAGCAATTGAACACATTGATGAAGTACAGAATGAAATAGACAGGTAAACATTATCTAACTTATAAAATGTTTTAGCAGAAATTGAAATGTAGCTGATAAAAGTGAAAGTATTTAGTAAAGCGAGCACTCTGTAGTACTCACTGTCTTTGAACTCCACCAAGATATACCTGTGTTCTGACTTGATTAGAGACATTAAAATAACAAAGAAGTGTCCTGGTTTCTTGTTTAATTGTGTATAATTAAAGAGGTAGAACTTGAGTTTAAAAATTTTAATTAATTGTGGTATTTTTACTAATAAAAATGTATTTCACATTGGCTTCTCAAGTTAATGTGTAAGCTATTTGGCTAAAGTATTTCCCTGTTAGCAAGCAGACCCAAACACTTGGCTGAAAAGTCAGCTTTTATTATACATTTTTATTATAATATTCATGTGCTTGTGCAATAATATGCAGAAAATGTCTCTGAGATGTTAATTTTTTATGCCAAAGCTCTTGGGGCTGTGTGTTCTGTGTCAGTCCCTGCCTGCATGTTCTCTCCATGCCCAGTGTCCTACAAGGACTGCAGGTGGCTGTTGGGGCTGTGAATGTGTGAAGCTGTTGCAGTATGAGGGCTTTGCCTTTTTACAGCTGCTCACTTTTAAGTCTTCAGATTTTGCTTGCACAGGGTGCAGAATTTCTTTGCTGTAGCTTCCTTGCCTGCCTAAAAGTTTTAGGGGGCTGGTGGTAGGGCTGTGTTACCCTTCTGCAGGTTTTATGCAGGCAAAACGTTCAAGAGGTAAAACACTGCTTTGTGTTAGAAGGTTCCATTCAGACTAGTGAGATTGCTTCTGGCAGAATGTTTTTAACAGTTGTTACAGCCCTGTGTCTGTGCTTCTGGGGTTTTTGGGACACTTCATCTGCAGAGGATGGCAGACTGGTCTTATCAAACCCTTTCAGCTCTTAGTTGACTGTTCTGATGTGTCCTTGAGTCCCACTTCTCTCTCTGTGGTTAACATGGCTCTTTCAATTACAGACTGAATGAACAAGCCAGTGAGGAAATTTTGAAAGTAGAACAGAAATACAACAAACTCCGCCAACCATTCTTCCAGAAGAGGTCAGAATTGATCGCCAAAATCCCAAATTTCTGGGTAACAACATTTGTCAACCACCCACAAGGTACATTCTTAATAGCCCTCTTTTTTACCCCTGTAAATTCAGTGTTTGCTTGATTGTTATGTGAGTGCCTAAAAGCTCCAAGGGTCTTGTGGTGTTGTTACTAAGCATACAAAACACTTCCTTTCTGTCCTAGATTTCATTGTTTAAGCTTTGTCTTTTGCACTTGTTGGCCAAAGGAACATCTTGTTTATTAAAATATTTCAATCCTGAAATGTCTTTCTGCATTTTAAATTGCAAGTTTCCCACTTTATTCGGTTCACTGGGAACTTAAAGCAAAAACAAACAAACAAAAAAAATTGGTTTAGATTGTTTGGGTGTTTTTTACTTGGAATGAACTCCTTGGGACTCTGACAATAAACTTTCTACAGAACAAGTTCGTAGACTGCTTAGATTGGGCAAACTACATGCATGAAAATCTGTTTCAGAGGGAAGGGTAGGTATGTGTGGGTAGGCTGTTGGCTGGTAACTTGAAAAGGAAGAGCCATGAGAAATTGGCTGGGACAGATGTGTTGCTTTTTAGATGTTCCTGGCTCTCAGTTTCCTGTGTTTTGCCTGCCTCTTTCATGACTTTGTTAATGTGGGATTCCTCCTTCTCTCTCAGTATCTGCACTGCTGGGAGAAGAAGATGAGGAAGCACTGCATTACTTGACCAGAGTTGAGGTGACAGAATTTGAAGACATCAAATCAGGTTACAGAATAGATTTTGTAAGTACTTTAAGTGGTTGATTCGTGATTTTGCTGTAGTTTTTTTTTAATGTAATTGCATGTTGGGTTGTAGTTTATAACTTAAGTCTCCACACTTTACTATTTAGTGCCAGGTTTGAGTTGATATGTGTGTTTCCATTCTGTGGGTTCTAACTCTTTGCTTTCTACTCTGCAGTATTTTGATGAGAATCCCTACTTTGAAAATAAAGTTCTCTCCAAAGAGTTTCACCTCAATGAAAGTGGAGACCCATCTTCAAAATCTACTGAGATCAAATGGAAATCTGGAAAGGTATGTATTGCATCTGGGAGAACACAAGTGAAAACATTACCAAGTGCATTAGCTTGTCTCTTCCTTGGCCAGGATCTAGACTGTGTTGTGTTGTTTACTTAAAATAACTGTTAAATGAAGAATTCCAAGGACAACAGGTTTAGGGGGATCAGATAGCAGTGTGTGATCTTGTTTTATATTTTCCTCTATTTCTTTGACTCCATTTCCAGATGCCACATCTTTTGTAGAATTTGCAGCCATAATAATGTGGGCATACCTGTCACCCAGGCAGCGTTCAAGAATCATTAATTTACTGCAGTTTATTTCTGTAGAAGTTCTTCAGTGTTATCCTGAAGATTTTGAACTGAGTTTTTAAAAGTAGAGCTGAGGCTTGCAGTTAAAATGCAGTTTGTTTTGTCACTCTCAGACCAAGCAGAAAATTTAATGTTTTTCATATTGAGAACTAGAATTTTCCCTTTTGTACCAGAAATTGCATTCCTGTACAGACCAGTCAAGTGATCTTTACAATACAGCACAAAATCAGTGTGAATTCCGTTTTGTTCTTCTTAAACAGTCTGAATCTAGAAATGTTGTCATTCTGTCAGGAGAAAAAAACCACTGGAAGTGTGGTGTAACCACATGGTGAAAGAAATAATTTATTTAATTTCAGACTTCACAAGAAGATTGTTGCAAACTTACTACACTTTTTTTCTAGGATAAGGTGATAGATACAGACCTTACATGTATTCTTGTAGCCATGTGTTTTAGCAGTTTGTGTGGGGTTTTTTTGCACATACTGTAGAGAGTGGCCTGAAGACTTCAGAGTGGGAAATCTTAGGCAAAAAGGCCTAGGCAGGTCTTTATATCCAAATGCTAAAAGAGCTTAGAGGTGTGGAGACTTTCTTAAATTGGATGTATGTAGTAGTTGCTGCAATTACAACTACTCTTGAGTGGCATTTAGTCATTGTGAGACCTTGTAAGTTCAGTGTGTCATTAAACACTCTTCATACTTGTGTTTCCCTGAGACAGGGAAATGTAAATCAAATGTGAGATTATGTGAATTTTCAGTGTTCCAGTGGAGGCCGTTGAAAGAAACAAGTGGGTTTACTGTTCTCTCATGTTCATGAGAAATGCAATATCTTCTGTCAGTTGTTTGTGCTTCAGATGTGTTTTACAGACTTGCCCTCAAAGAGGGAGGGGAAAGTGACTTCTTAGGGTTGTTTAGACAAGTACATTTTTAAATGGTGCTTATAGGGAAAAAACACCATAGAAAGACAACTTTAGAGAACTTCTTAACTTTCTTTTCAGGACCTGACAAAACGTTCAAGCCAGACACAGAACAAAGCCAGTAGGAAGAGGCAGCATGAAGAGCCAGAAAGCTTTTTCACCTGGTTCACTGACCACTCTGATGCAGGGGCTGATGAATTAGGAGAAGTCATCAAGGATGACATCTGGCCAAATCCCCTACAGTACTACTTGGTAGGTACAGCCCTGAGCAGGGCATCTGCACCCTCAGCAGCTCTGGGAAAGAGTGAATTTGATCACTGTAGATGATGTTGCAAATGTGTCTTTAAGGTTCCTGATATGGATGATGAAGAAGGGGAAGGAGAGGAGGATGACGATGATGATGAAGAGGAGGAAGGATTAGAGGATATTGATGAAGAAGGAGATGAAGATGAGGGGGAGGAAGATGAAGATGATGATGAGGGAGAAGAAGGAGAGGTGAGTAATTTTTTCTCTTCATGCCACTTGTGTGAGGTGTTTGAGAGGGATCTTGTAAGAATACCAAGCCACTGTGGCAAAGGTGAACTGGCTCTTTCTGCACCCCAAGGTGTGAGAATTGTGACTGCATTAACTTGAGTGGTTTCAGGTAGAATAAGTGTGTTTGTGTGTATGAAAGACAGTGGAAGTACATAGTTTCAGTAAATTTGTAAGGGAAGTGTTCTAGGAGAACTAAGATTAATGTGACAAAATTCTTACTTCATTACTGAGTATTCTAGCAATGCTTTACATATGAATGGCTTTTGTTGATACATCCAGTCATCCTTCCCACTTGTTGGTTCATTTCTGCTTATGGCTAGCCTAGCTAAGACTTTCTGTTGGGTTCAGGAATTAGAAATTTGCTTTAGTAGTAAGTGGGAGTTCAGGTTCAGCATCCAGGGTGTTGGGAAGTTAGTTTAGAATGTCTTTGTTTCTTGAAACGGTGTGTCTGACTTCAGCAGCACAAACCACATGCAGTGAGAGGAGGGCTTTGGGCTCTGTTCTGTAACCTAGAATTTGACTTGTGAAAGGTGAAACATTTTGTTCTTCTGAGTTCTAAATGAGGGGGAAAAGATGACCCCTTCATTTTCCACGTGTTAAACTCATGTCAGTGCTTGTAGTGATTCTAAGGCACAGTTTGTCAAACCTCTGATGTGTTTTCCTTGGGACAGCCAGGGAGTGAGTGATTTCTGTGTGGTCAGTAGCTGGGCACCCAGGGCAAGTGTTACCATCCTGTAGTGAGGGAAGAGATGATCATACAGCACCATGAGTAGCACTGTAAAAAGTTCTGGTCACTGCATTTGCTATCTGAAGTTTAGTGATTAGATTTATTTAATTCTTGCTTATCTTTCAACAGGAGGATGAAGGAGAAGATGACTAATTGAACACTGATGGATTCCAAACCCCCTTTTTACCTTTTTAATTTTTCTCCAGTCCCTGGGAGCAAGTTGCTGTCTTTTTTTTCTTGTGCTCAGTCGCCTTGTTCTCTTGAGGTCTCTTTTTCTCTCCTCTACACCATGGTTCACAATTTCTTTTGGGGAAATATCTTGAGCAGAATACAGTGGAAAAGAATCTACCAGTTTCTGTTTCAAGTTCATTTTTATCCCTTTCTGTCTCAAAACAAAAACTGTTTATGAATTCAACACACCATGTTCTGTGGGAAAAAAGAAAACCTTCTGCTCCCTTCACTCTGCTGGAAGCTGAAGAGTGCTAGGCCCCTGTGTAGTAGTGCATAGAATCTAGCTTTTTTCCTTCTTTCTCTGTATATTGGGCTCAGAGATTACACTGTGTCTCTATGTGAATATGGACAGTTAGCATTTACCAACATGTATCTGTCTACTTTCTCTTGTTTAAAAAAAAAGAAAAAACAACAAAAAAATAAAAATAAAAATGGGGTTATAGAAGGTCAGCCGGGGTGGGTTTCAGAAGTTTGGGTGGGTTAAGTGGGCATTTTGACAACATGGCTTCTTCTCCTTTGGCATGTTTAATTGTGATGTTTAACAAACATCCTTGCAGTTTAAGATGACACTTTTAAAATAAAATCTTCTCCTAATGATGACTTTGAGCCCTGCCACTTGATGGAGAATCAGCAGAACCTGTAGGATCTTATTTGGAATTGACATTCTCTATTGTAATTTTGTTCTTGTTTATTTTTAAAATTTTTTTTGTTTGTTTTTTTTGTGGTTTTTTCCTTTTTTTCTTTTTGGTTTTTTTTTTGTTTCACTGGAAAGGAAAGAAAGATGCTCAGTTTTAAACGTTAAAGTGTACAAGTTGCTTTGTTACAATAAAACTAAATGTGTACACAAAGGGACTGGTTGGTCTTCACTGAAAGAAACAGCTTTTATATCCTATTTAGAACTTGCTGTAGTTTCTTGGCATTTTTGGGGGCATTTTGTCAGTATTTCTGTAGTGCAGTGCAGCCTTGTGGTTGTGTGGACTGAACCAGTTCATGTAGTTCCCACTATTTCAGTACCTGTAAAGTGTTTCCTGTGGTAGTTCCTACTGCACACTGACCCTTGAGTTCCCTCTAGGCTCGTGTGCTGTGTGTGAAGACACAGGTATATATTCAGGTTTTGCAAAAAGGAAAGTCACTTGATTTGTAGAATTTTTAGTAATTTGCAGTACTGTATTTCCAGTACATCAGTTTGCATGAAAATACCATGCAAGCTCAGAATAAAAAGACCAACGGGTGGTTTTAAAATATTTGGGTGGGTTTGTAAATCTTTTCAGTTGAAAACAAATCTTAATTGCAAGCTAATTTGGGGGCTATTTCAAAGAGCAAGATTCTTAGTAAAGTTCATGTATAAAAAGTTGCTACTTCACTGCTTTTTTTTCCCTTGGTAGCAGCATGTATATGTGCTTTAGATACACTGTACTCTCATTTTAAGAGACTGCATTTGAGAAACTTGTAACAATTTCACATAAGAGGGTGTTGGAACTGGTATTCCACAAAATGTAATGGAAGTTGTTTTAACATGCTTTGCTTTTGAAATATTTAAGAAAAAATGTTCTATCAGCTCATCTGAAATTCAAACAGCTCTTTGGATGTGTAGAAAAGACTGTCTTCTGGGAAGACTTGTTATATTCTCTGATTCCTTTTCCTCACAGAATTTGCTGTAGTCAAATTCAGCTTTTTTTGATGCCTAAGAATACACTTGGCAGAACAAAATCAATGTCTGGTTGAGACGTGCACAAATAACATGTGTGAGGGAAAACATTCTGTAAGTGTGTGGTCCAGCTTGGATTCAATCCAGTTATCAGAGACAATGCAACGTCCAGTCTCATGTGATCAATGCAAAAATAAGACAACCATGTACTTTATTCCATCTCAACAAAAGCTTCTGCCCTCATCCTGCTTTGCAGAGCCAAGTACAACGTTGATCAGTAATGGTTTCTTACCATCTAGAGAGAGAAGGAACAAAACCCATGAAGTCCGATAAATTTTAGTGTTTTTTAATTTGATTCCTTTTTGTTGTAAGATTGAAAATAGCTTCCTGTTGCGGTAGAGGGTCAATGTGCTGTTTCTTGCCATGATGCCTCATTACTTAATTTTTATGTAGTCCTAATTGTAGTTCCTCGAGGAAAATAATCTTTGCTAGTCTTGAATGCTTTAGGAAAAATATTGTGCCATTGTTGTTCCATCTCTGTTGGTTACTAGCAGAAAACTTATAAAAACTGTTTTGAAAGTAATCAAAGCTTCAGGCTCTGTAAAGTCAAATACCAGGAACAAGAAATGAAAAGTCTGGATAATTAAATGCTACTTAAGAGATTTTTCTTGCGCATTCTTTAGGATTTTACAGGGTGCCAAAATACTCTTGCTACTGTACTGATAATACTGAATTTGCTGTGAAACTTGAGGGTTTACTCCTGGCAATGGCTAAAGAGTAAACTGACATGGTAAAAGAATAAACCATATTAGTTAAGTGTTATTTTAATTTTTTTTCTTCTAGCATGGAAATGATTAGGGATTAACACATTTCTCTGCAATGCTCAAGAAATACTACAGCTGGCCATCGTGTGCTCTGACTGTTCACTTAATGTCTAATTTGGCTGAATATATGTAATGGGTGTCCATTTTTTACTGGATTTATTTTATATGTGTATAAAGAGCTTTTAAAAAGACATCTACCTTGGATAATAACGGGAGATTAATTCTTATTAAATATCATTAATTCCCCATTGCTTGAGCTCCTCACATACGGTTAATCCCACCATGTGAAATTTGTCACAGGTGGTAAATGACTTCAGGTTTTTTGGCTTGAATTTCCAGGGTTAGAACATAGGGTTGGCAGCAATTTAATAAAGGTAAAGCTGCTGTGCTGGGGCTACATGGACTATCTCAAGGGTTGTTTTTAAGTTTAAAGTTTAATTGCTATAAAATGGAATATTTTGTCTGTAATTTCTCGTGCCAAAGGAAACAAATACAGCTGAGTGTGTAAATACAGTCAGGAAGGTTTGGGGCTTTTAAAGAGATTATCTGTGTACTTATTCATACTTGTCAACATAGTTTCTGTCCCTGTAAACAAGCATTATCTGAATCGATTTCTCAGTCATTTATGATATTCATTTGAATCTGTAAGCTCTTTGTACCACACTAAACCAGGTGCATAAGGATAGTTCTTTGTTTATTGGATACTGTTCCTGAATTTTGAAGCCATGTTGTTTTTTGTTTTGGTTTGGTTTTTTTGGTTTTTAAAGAGAATGAAATCAATGAAATAATTTCTCTGCTGTACCTTCAAGCTATCCTTCTGTTTGAAGGAATTAAAATACATTTAACTGTTACTTGATGTTACTATTTCTAAGAGTCTTTTTCAAAAGAATCAGTTTTTTAGTCCCCAACTCGGCACAATCTTTCAGGGGTGATGTGGACAGTGCTTGCTTTTCCTTTATGGAGAAGAGTGAGGGGAGGTCACAAGTGACTGGTAGACCACGCTTGCTTCCTGCGGGAAACAGATTTATGCTTAATGTCCTTCCTCCCTCTCCTGGATTAAAAATTGAAACTCTTTAAGACTTTTTCTTGATCATCACCTTTTCCGCGTGCTCTCTCGGGTGTAATGGAGGACAGGGACTGTGGTTCAAGGTCGGGCCGCACCTTCAGCCCCTGCCCTGCTCCGGGAACACCCCAAGAGTCCGCACAGCTCCCGGGCCGCTGCCCCTGCCCCTTGCCGGCTGCTGGGCAGGACGGGCTGGATCATCCCCGGCACCAGGGCTGCTGCCCTGCGGGATCCTGGAAGGGCTGGAGGGGCACATGGTGCTCCCAGTGTGGCACTCACCTTCCGGCGGGACAGGGCCCTGCTGATCCCACGTACCAGCCCCCTCTCTCTGCAGGATTTGCGGGATACAGCTGAACCGTGCCTGGGGAAGGGGGCTGGGATGCTGGGTAGCCAGGGACACAGCTTCTGGGGTCACCCGGGAGCTGGGAGCCAGCCCTTTCCCTCCAGGCTGGGGCACTCCAGCTCCCCAGCATCCCTGATGCCCCTTGCCCTTCCTCTGCCTCCCCTGGAGGGTCTGAGACCTGAAGGAAAGAGGGGGAAGCTGCTGTAGGAGCCCTGAGTGTGTGGTGGGCAAAGGACCCCAGCCCAGAGCCCCCCGGCACATCCCCAGTGACCCCAGCCCAGAGCCCCCCAGCACATCCCCAGGGACCCCAGCCCAGAGCCCCCCGGCACATCCCCAGTGACAGCCAAACACAGCCTTGATCCCGACTGCTGGAGGTGTGGAAGCACCCCTGCTCCTCTGGAACTCAGTCTCTACACTTGCTAGTTTGATTTTCCCCCTTCCAGTATTTCCACTGAATGAACAGTCAAATTAAAATAATTGCTTTAAACACTAAACAGAGCCTGGACCATGTTCTAAATAGCATCAGGTTTCTGAAGGGTTTATATTAATCAAATGCACTTGCTTTATTAACAACAGGGGCATATTCAAAGGCTTTGTATTAGTTTAAGGCTTTATTAATTCAAGTCAGTTAAGCTAGGTTCAAATTTTTAATTTTATCATGAGTCCCTTTTATTAATTACTCTGTTGCAAACAACTTACAAAATGTTTAGGCTAGAAAAATTTTTCTAATTAAGTAAAAGGAACACACTTCTGTTTATTAGTATATTTCTAAATTTGTATGTGAGAATACTATCACTTCCAAATGCCTTTTGATTCACAGTTGTGCACTGCTCCATGATTGAGAAGCGTATTAGTAGGATAGTAACATTATGTAATACTGCTGAGGAACATCTTTAAACACCTGAAAACAACAAGTATATTTATATTTTGTTTAAAGCACTGGGCCTGTGACACACTGTGGTTCTGTGTGATGCTGTGGCACTACTGCAGCACGGTGTTTTTTCACTACGGTAGCTAGGGGATTGTTGCCGGCCTCGCCAATGCATATGGGACGTTTTTCCACTCAAATATTCAGCAGAATCTGTGTGTGAAGGGGCAGTTCTGCAGGGGAAAACTTCCCCAGAGCCCAGCATCGCCCCGTTCCAGGGAAGGGATGCAGGGATCCCGTCGCAAGCAGAGCTGCGCCTCGCTGGTTCCCCTTCGGACCAGCGCCGGTCACGAGCCCGTGTGGAGAACAGAAACTGGGAACCACCCGATGGCCGCAGCACCCAGGGCCACCCGCGGGCGTTCTGCTCAGGGCTTCCAGAGGGGATCCGCCACTGTGCCTCCCGTCCCCTCCCTCCGGCACGGACCCCTCCAGTCCGCCACCTCCGCGGCGCCCTCGCTCCTTCCCGTCGCCTCACCGCGCCTTTCCCCTCGGGGCGGAGGCGGCGGCTTCTCCTCAGCCAGGGGCCGGAGCGGCGGCTGCCCCGGGGCCGTGTGGGGAAGGGCGGCTCCCGCTGCTCGTCCCGCTGCCCGGGCCGCCCGCCGGCAGCTCCCCGGGCCGCCCCCGCGAGAGGGCGCTGGCGGCGGCCCCGGGACCGCCGAGTTTGAAAAGTGCCGGTCCGGGCGGAGCAATGGCGGCAATGGCGACCCCGCAGGTGAGCGCTGAGGGCTCGGGGCTGGCAGCGGGCCGGGCAGCGCCTTGGGGGAGGGCGGTCCCCGCGCCCTTTGGGGTTCCCTGTGCCTTTTGGGGTTCCCCGTGCTTTTTGGGGGTCCCTCCATCCGTGCCCCGCCGGGAAAGCACCGCACCCCGCTCCGCCCTTCGGAGGTCCCTCCATCCATGCCCCCGCCGGGAAAGCACTGCGGCCCGGCGCCCTCTGGGAGTCCCTGTGTCCTCTGGGGGTCCCTGTGGTCTTTGGGGGTCCCTGCATCCATCCCCCGCCGGGAAAATCCCGTGTCCCGCCCCGCCGGGAGCCCCCGCAGAGGCG